ATCTCTGAAACACACTCCTGAATAGCACAGTCTTGACCCCATCCCCCACCCCTCGAGAGAAATGCTTTGCGTACGAAAATTTCATCAGTTTTTTTTTTTATATATCGACTGGGAAAAGCAATTTGCGTTTTAAATATGATATTTCGCCACCAATCACTGAGCTATATTAGGTTAGCTGTTTCTTATATCGCTACTAACAATCGTTAAGTCAATAAATTGAGTAGTTTGATGCAGGGTGTTATTCGAGTCAAGGCCGATATACGATACGTTTATTAGCAATTTGCATTCTAATATATGTGATATAATGACTGCCCGCTCATCCTGCAGGTGCAATTAAAGATTCACAGCTTGACTAGAATTATTGGACAATATTATGGAAACTACTGGAAATGCGTTAATTTTGTGTGTATGTGTTGGTGTATGTTGGTGTATGTGTGTGTATGTGTTCGTGTATGTGTGTGTATTTACTATTTGTGCCTGCGGGCTCGAGCTGTTAGCTCTTGGAACTTTGCCTTTCTAACTATCAGTTGTCTAATGTCCCAACCAATTTTTTCGTCATTTCTACTACATATTTCTAACACACACACATCCCCAGGATGCAGCCTGTAACAGCTGTCTAATTCCCAGGTACCTATTTACTGCTAGGTGAACAGGAACATCAGCAAAAGAAGCTGCCCCATTTGTTAGGGCCGCAAATCGAACCCGGGTCCTTAGGACTAGGACCCCCGAGCGCTGTATACGCGTGTGCGTGCGGACTTCGGGTTGCAATGTGCTTGCGTGGATTTCTTGCATAGGTGTTTATGATTTAGCATGGATGTAATATTTAAGCTGGCTGTGTTTTACGAGTCGCTCTAAAAGGAGCACTTTTCTCGATTGCGTTTTCACAGTGAGAGAATATTTGTTTCTCCAGTGACATTAGCAGTTCTGAATTGAGCACTGCCCAAGCGAATAGTGATAGTTCCAGTGATTTGGTAGTGGTAACCCTGTGGGAGTATCGAACCACTGGTATCCAGCTACCACAGTGTTTAGTGGGACATTGATCAGACCACACACTAGAAGGTGAAGGGACGACGACGTTTCGGTCCGCCCTGGACCATTCTCAAGTCGGTTGTGACTTGAGAATGGTCCAGGACGGACCGAAACGTCGTCGTCCCTTCACCTTCTAGTGTGTGGTCTGGTCAACATACTGTACCCACGTTAATGTGACTCATCGCCTGCATTTAGTGGTATAATCTCCAGCTGAGAGAACCTCTAAGTCACATCGGGATGGTAGTCTAGATTACGTCAAGGCTGCAGTGATTGAGTCAGACAGTGACGCGGTGAAGGACGCCAGCTTCAAGCACCGAGTGCAGGAACTACTACGATTTTCCCGTCCTTCGCAACGACGCAACGGAACAAGAACATAACGGACGTAGTCAGGTAACCCGCGCCAAGGACATGGTTTACCTAGATAACGCTCCCTTCCCATTCTCCTTAAAGTAGTATTGTTCCAAGGAGCAATTCAGGGATTGTGCCTATTTAATTGAAAGTTCTTTGACTTAGATGATCAATTTGCCTATGATTATTCTTGCATTATTTCTGAAACAGTTGTGGGGGCGGTTAGTGATATGGATTCATTTGCATTGTGATGTTTAAGCATTTGCCAAGTCAATTGAGCATCATTAATTTTTATTTAGAATTTTATTCTTTCATTTATTTTGTGATAATCAACTTGTGAGTAACGTAAGAATTTGAGTTTAAAAGGTCAAGAGCAACTTAGTGATGAGTCAACTGGACATTTTAAATTCCATTTTGAGAAGTTACTAAGATAACACGTAATCCGTTTTTCTTTTAATTACATTATATTTTATGAACTACACCTGTGTCCCCTCATTTGGCATTTGTTAATTGACCATGTCGTAGCTCAGTCGATTAAGGCAGCGTCTGGGATGCTCTCGGACGCAGGTTCGAATCCTCGTCCCGGCCCTTGTGGATTTGTTCATTTGACCTTGTAGAGGCTGAGTTATAACTCGTACACTATGGAACATACTCGAGGGAGAGGCTGGGGCTTGTGGACATCTCTGTGAGTGTTGTGAGATTGTGTGTGTACTCACCTAATTGTGCTTGCGGGGGTTGAGCTTTGGCTCTTTGGTCCCGCCTCATGTGTGTGTGTGTGTGTGAGAGTGTCTGTGAGTGTGTGTGTTTCTGTGTGTTTAAGAAGATATTCATGTGTCATTAAGAGTGATGAGCACAATTCACCTTAGCAAACAGCTAAATGAACTGATTTACAACATTAGAAAATCAGGATGTCTAAAAAAAACGAAACCAGGAGCTAGAACAGAACCCCCTCCCCCCCCACCCCCCTCCTCCCTCTGTTGATAGACAGGTAAACAGAGCTGTCAATCATTGTCAAAATACTGAAGAACCCTTTAAATAATGTCTCACTCACTGGACGTAAAAGGTCGAAAGTTCACCTGAAAAAAGGCCAAGTTAGAGACTCAAACACGTGATCGTGTTTGAAAAGGCCAAAAGTGCTTAATGATTTTTTCGCGTGCATTAAAATGCGTAAATTCATTCACACATACAAATTCAACAATTAAAAACACGGACCCCTGTTGATTTATTCCCTCTACCGGATTTTTTTTTTTTTTTTTTTGGTGGGGGGGGGGCAAATAGTGTTGATGTTGCTAATATATCTTACGTTACCTACGATATCTTACCTTTAGATAAGAGCTATCATCCTTCATCTCTCTCTTTACCTCTTTCTCTCTCTCTCGATCTATTTCTCTCACTAACTCATGTTTTTATCTATCTTTTGCTATCTCTCTGTTTTTCTGTCTCTTTATCACTCTTTATCTGTCTCTAACACTTGTTTACTCTTCCTCTCTCTCTCTCTGAACATGGCTCTTATATCGTTGTGTCACGTTCCAGGGATTGCCTTGTTACTGGTCAGAACGGTTGAGAAGTTATTGCCACTAATGACCATCTCTGTTCTTCAGTATTGATGGACTCAAGGTCGTTTTTGTCCTATTCCATTATCTTGACGACCTTGTTCTCGATAACTTTCGTCATCATCATATATATATATATATATATATATATATATATATATATATATAATATATATATATATATATATATATATATAGAGAGATCTAGAGAGAGAGAGAGATAGAGAGCGAGAGAGAGAGAGACAGAGAGAGAGAGAGAACAGAGACAGAGAAACGAGAGAGAGAGAGAGAGAGAGAGAGAGAGAGAGAGAGAGAGAGAGAGAGAGAGGAGAGAGAGAGAGGAGGAGAGATAGAGAGAGAGAGAAGAGAGAGAGAGAGAGAGAGAGAGAGAGAGAGAGAGAGAGAGAGAGAGAGAGAGAGAGAGAGAGAGAGAGAGAGAGAGAGAGCCTTTCGACCATCAGTAGCTAAACGTAGTGCCACTTTTCATAGTTTTTTTCTTCTCATGTTTACTTTTAATATTATACATTTGAAATCGAAATGGCTTCGACACTTCCGTACCCAGTCCATTTACCACTTTTAAAGTGAAAAAAAAAGTAATTTCTAGTCATTTTTGTGTTTCACTTTTTTATGTTCTAATTCTTCTTACTTTTGAACACTACTTCTAGTGTATGTGTGTGTGTGTGTGTGTGTACTCACCTAGTTGTGTTTGCGGGGGTGAGCTCTGGCTCTTTGGTCCCCGCCTCTCAACCGTCAATCAACAGGTGTACAGATTCATGAGCCTATCGGGCTCTGTCATATCTACACTTGAAACTGTGTATGGAGTCAGCCTCCACCACATCACTTCCTAATGCATTCCATTTGTCAACCACTCTGACACTAAAAAAGTTCTTTCTAATATCTCTGTGGCTCATTTGGGCACTCAGTTTCCACCTGTGTCCCCTTGTGCGTGTTCCCCTTGTGTTAAATAGACTGTCTTTATCTACCCTATCAATCCCCTTCAGATCTTGAATGTGGTGATCATGTCCCCCCTAACTCTTCTGTCTTCCAGCGAAGTGAGGTTTAATTCCCGTAGTCTCTCCTCGTAGCTCATACCTCTCAGCTCGGGTACTAGTCTGGTGGCAAACCTTTGAACCTTTTCCCAGTTTAGTCTTATCCTTGACTAGATATGGACTCCATGCTGGGGCTGCATACTCCAGGATTGGCCTGACATATGTGGTATGTGTGTGTTGTGTGTGGTGTGTGTGTGTGTGTGTGTGGGTGTGTGTGTGTGTGTGGTGTGTGTGTGTGTGTGTATGTGTGTGTTTTGTGTGTGTGTGTGTGGTGTGTGTGTGTGTGTGTGTGTGTGTGTGTGTGTGTGTGTGTGTGTGTGTGTGTGTGTGTGTGTGTGTGTGTGTGTTTTCATGAAGTTCCACACAATAGAATTTGTTATTTCTTACCACTTTTTTTTATTAATCTATTTATTTTGTTGTCTATTCTGAGTCAAAGACTTCGTGGGGACTTAATGATAGAAAACGGTGTACTTTGAATTACATATATGATAACATAGTTACAGGACAAGGTATAAAGGGGGGAGACTATTGCATATAATATACGACCCATCTAACCGCTCTCGAATCTTCAATGGCCGATAAGTCGTAACTCAATCAGTCTACCCAACACCAGTAGAGGAAGGAGGTTCACCGCTAAGCCACTTATTTAAATCTATTACTATAATTGTTAAAAAATAATGCTCGTTTACATGATTAATGGGACGAACACACACACAGCTTCAAACACTCCCAAACACCTGCGATTGCTTGTCTACTAGCAGATGTTTATTATCTGTCGTATCTCGAGCAGTCAAGACGTGTTGGCTTAGTAGATGTTGTCGCTTGATCTTGCTCTTTGTAAATGAATTTACAAGAAAGAAAAGGACATTTACAAAGGCATCCATCGCACTTCCTTCTCGTCAATACTGTGGATTAACTTATAAGACCAGTGACTAATACTTAGCAAGGAATTTACAAGGAATGATCAATACTGGACAGCACAAAACAAGGACAGTGACTACCGGTCATTCTGGGCTACCAGTACCGGTCAGTGACCAGTACTCCATACTACCAGCACCGGTCAGTGACCAGTACTCTATACTACCAGCACCGGTCAGTGACCAGTACTCCATACTACCAGTACCGGTCAGTGACCAGTACTCCATACTACCAGTACCGGTCAGTGACCAGTACTCTATACTACCAGCACCGGTCAGTGACCAGTACTCCATACTACCAGTACCGGTCAGTGACCAGTACTCCATACTACCAGTACCGGTCAGTGACCAGTACTCTATACTACCAGTACCGGTCAGTGACCAGTACTCCATACTACCAGCACCGGTCAGTGACCAGTACTCCATACTACCAGTACCGGTCAGTGACCAGTACTCCATACTACCAGTACCGGTCAGTGACCAGTACTCTATACTACCAGCACCGGTCAGTGACCAGTACTCCATACTACCAGTACCGGTCAGTGACCAGTACTCCATACTACCAGTACCGGTCAGTGACCAGTACTCCATACTACCAGTACCGGTCAGTGACCAGTACTCCATACTACCAGTACCGGTCAGTGACCAGTACTCCATACTACCAGTACTGGTCAGTGACCAGTACTCCATACTACCAGTACCGGTCAGTGACCAGTACTCTATACTACCAGTACCGGTCAGTGACCAGTACTCTATACTACCAGTACCGGTCAGTGACCAGTACTCCATACTACCAGTACCGGCAGTGACCAGTACTCTATACTACCAGTACCGGTCAGTGACCAGTACTCCATACTACCAGTACCGGTCAGTGACCAGCACTCCATACTACCAGTACCGGTCAGTGACCAGTACTCCATACTACCAGTACCGGTCAGTGACCAGTACTCCATACTACCAGTACCGGTCAGTGACCAGTACTCCATACTACCAGTACCGGTCAGTGACCAGTACTCTTTACTACCAGTACCGGTCAGTGACCAGTACTCTATACTACCAGTACCGGTCAGTGACCAGTACTCCATACTACCAGTACCGGTCAGTGACCAGTACTCTATACTACTCCATCAATGGAGAAAAATTACGCAATATTACGTTAATTCGATTGCTCTGTGCATCTGAGATTGCTCTGTGCATCTGAGATTGCTCTGTGCATCTGAGATTGCTCTGTGCATCTGAGATTGCTCTGTGCAATGTGAGCAACCCTGATCTGGTGTCATTGGGGAAGCCCCAGGAACCCTAGAGGATTCAGTCGAATCCCAGGTTTGCGTTACTTTTGCAGCATGTTGTAGTCTAGGGCTTTAGGGCGTGTGTTTGGGAGCACCCACAGTGTGTTGGTTCGAACCCTGATCCCGACCCCTGTGGATCTGTCCATTGATATATCACGATAATGGGATTCTCTGTGATTGATTAATAATGTGATTGATTAATAACATTATTAATCAATCCTAATTCCGGGCCACATATGCTGCATTTCGACTCGTTAATAGATGTTTACGACCCCATCCTTCTGAAATGGTCTAGTGCGCTTTGTAATCGGTAAGCCAACGCTACAAGTTTCCCCTGGAATACGACCCGTTAATCGCTTTCCAACCAGGTACCCCATGTCCTCTCTGGTGTTGGCCTTTGGACCTTTTAACCTTTGTGTGTATTAAGGTCACTATAATACCTTAAAGACTAACCAACAAGGATACTTTAGTCTTTAAGTTGACCAGACCACACACAAGAAGGTGAAGGTACGACAGCCACGTTATTGACTTATCGCCTGTTTTAGTCTTTAACAGGACTTTAACAGGTATAGGACTGAAGTCAACTATCAATGCATATATATACCGAGAAGCGGATAATACACATCTCAGTGAATAAACACCATACCCCCCTCCTGTACTCAACGTTCGTGAAAGAAAACGGGAATTAATGATTTCAGATCTCATGTATTCTGGAGTTTTTTTTGGCTTTTTTCTTCAGCAACATTAAAAATTAATTAGTACAACTTTTAGATTAAATATTTTGTTATAAAAAAATAATAGGTTTTGTTTGGGATGTAATCTGGCTTGAGATCATTTATATAATTATCTTGTCGAGTGAATGTCAGAGCAGTAAATGTTAATGGGAGATTAAAAGCTAGTTAGACAAGATTACAACTGACAGGAGATTAGCGATTGGATAAATTACATAACAGCGAACTCTGGGATTCTGAGAAAGACAGAGAGAGAGAGACTTTAGACACAGACAGAGTGGAATAGACAAAGAGACAGACATACAGACACATATTAGTTACAAGAAAACTACTGGAATTTCCTCATGACACTGGAAGACAGGAGAGTTAGAGGAGACATGATTACCGCCTACAAAATTTTCAGAGGAATTGGCAGAGTAGATAAACAAAATATTTAGCACGGGTGGTACACGATCAAGGGGACACAGGTGGAAGCTTAGTACTCAAATGAGCCACAGAGACATTATAAATAACTTTTCAGTGTCAGAGTAGTTAAGAGGAATGCATTAAGCAGTGATGTGGTGGAGGCTGACTCCATACACAGTTTCAAATGTTGATATGATAGAGCCCAATAGGCTCAGGAACCTGTACACCAGTTGATTGACAGTTGAGAGACGGAACAAAAGAGCCGAAGCTCAACCCACGCAAGCACAACTACGTGAGTACAAATAAGCTTACAGAGAGCGACATAGAAATATACAAATGAGCTCACAGAGAATGACAGAGTATATAAATATGCTCACAGAGAAGTATATACATAAACTCACAAAGAAGTCTACATATAACTTCACAAACAAAAATAATAATATATAAATGAGCTCACAGAGAACGACAAAGAAGTATGAAAACAGCCGAACTAAATATTCAATCCAATTACAAGAATATATTAGAACGTATATTGGATAAAGAACATTATCCTCAAGCCCCCTTTCCTACACCCTTCGCAGCACTAAGAACATAATATAACAAAAATAAACTCCTGCAAAAATGATATACAACAAATCCATTAATAACTAGTCTCACAACTGATTGAAAATGACGAGGAAGTTACAGTAGAAAAACCGAATAACGTAAATCAACATTTTCCTGACGTGAAAAGAAAATGACGACAAAGAAAGGAAAATGAATGATTCATAGTCACGGCAACAACAAAAATGACAGAAAATGCGAAAAACCCTGAAAATCGCATTCAAGCCTGTTTGAAAAAGTTATGAGAGCTAATTTACTTCTTACAAAAAAAATGTTGATTACTGGGGAAAATCACAAAGCCTAAATATCCTCAAATATATATATAGCTGATTTTGGGTACAGGGAGAGAGAGAGAGAGAGAGAGAGAGAGAGAGAGAGAGAGAGAGAGAGAGAGAGAGAGAGAGAGAGAGAGAGAGAGAGAGAGAGAGAGAGAGAGAGAGAGAGAGAGAGAGAGAGAGAGAAAGAGAGAGAGAGAGAGAGAAAGAGAGATTATTGCAGAGACAAAAAGAGCCTTTGAGCGTGAGAGTGATAGAAATACCAGATGACGTTTTTAAAGCTAACTTAACGTAAAAGTCAACATTACCAAAACTTTACGAGCGAGCTAAGACGAAGCATATTAACCACAAGACACAAACTACGCCAACGCGAAGATCGTGGAAATTCGCGTAAATTTCCTTTCCCTCTCTGGAACTAAAGAGTTGGAGGTGAAATACGACTGAAATCAATCAGACTTAGCTCACGAACTGACAGCTCTCATCCGGATTCACCGCGCATGAGATTTATGATCAATCTCTTAATCCGGATTCACTGTTATGGATCACGGATTGCATAGAACCGTTGCCATATAGACGGTTTTGCAGAGAGGAATATATCGTGTGGGTGGATTACACTTGTACCGTAATCTCCAGGAAGAGAGAGACTCGGGGATTACACAATTGAGAGATTTATTTCAGTGATCTGATTACAGGGAATCTATTCTCTGAGGCATTAAGATTTATTCTTGTCTTGGACAATTGTTCCCAAAATTTAATGTCACATTCCCCCCTTTTTCAAACACGTTTTCACCTGTGGACCCCAACAACAAAATAGATGGAGCCAGCAAACTTGACAATAGACTTTATTGTAATACTTACATTAATACATAACACAACCCTACATTTTAATTCTCAATTCTCACTGTTTTTCTCAATGGTTCTTATTGGTTCAGGGGGGTCAATACATAATATTGACCCCCCTGGATCTATTGACATTCTTCCATGGGCCCTTGGGGAGTCCAAAGACCCCAGGTTCGAAACCCTTGTCTAAGGGGGAGGAACGCTGCCAATAATCTCAAGAAGAAACCAATATTGGCGATTTCTAGGGGATTTCCACAGGCGTTAAATATCCATCAACAGGCCCCCACTGAGATTAATTAGAGCCCGCTGGGATTACGTACGCCGCGAGCTCCTTTCCGCGATTAATCAGATTCCCTTTGAAGAAAAGTTTTTGATTTACATTCAGAGGTCTCATATTTGCTCAGAGCCTTTTGTTTTGGGGGGGAGAGATAGATAGATAGAAGATAAGGAAGGTTAGTGTTGAAGGAGAGAGACAGAGAGGTGAGGAAGGTTAGTGTGGAAGAGAAGAGTTAGAGAGGAGAATGTAAGAAGGGAATGAGAGAGGGGGAAGGTGGAGGTAGAATGACCTGTGAAGGAACACAATCGACTTGAGAATGGTCCAGAACGGACCGAAACGTCGTCGTCCCTTCACCTTCTAGTGTGTGGTCTGGTCAACAATACAGTAAATGTAGGCTTTTAGGGTATTGTTTTATTTACATATCTTTTGTAAAGAAATATCTCCAAAATAGTTTCTAACGGAGTATACACTCCCACAAATACTTAACGAAACAGAAGCATAAGACAACTGAATCTAACGACAATTGGATATAGAGCTTAACCAGAGGTGACATGGCCACAACGTACGAGATACCGAGAGTAAAAACCAAAGAGGATATAGACAACCTTTTTCCCTTTGATGGACAGCAGATCGAGGAGCCACAGCTGGGGACACAGATGAACCAGAAAAATACAGAGAAATGCTGGTTTGCAACTGAGAGCAGTAAACAGGTTGAATAAGCTTGAAGCAAGGGAAGTGGAACCCCCCATTAGTCACAGCTTAAAGAGTAAGGTGGAAGCCCCCATTAGTCACAGCTTAAAGAGTAAGGTGGAAGCCCCCATTAACCACAGCTTAAAGAGTAAGGTGGAAGCCCCCATTAGTCACAGCTTAAAGAGTAAGGTGGAAGCCCCCATTAGTCCCAACTTAAAGAGTAATGTGGAAGCCCCCATTAGTCCCAGCTTAAAGAGTAAGGTGGAAGCCCCCATTAGTCCCAGCTTAAAGAGTAAGGTGGAAGCCCCCATTAGTCCCAGCTTAAAGAGTAAGGTGGAAGCCCCCATTAGCCACAGCTTAAAAGAGTAAGGTGGAAGCATCAACTATTCACAGATTCAAGAACAAATATACGAGAGTATTGGAACATCGGGAGATATATATATGTCCCATGGGGCAACAGCTATGAGGCGGGTCACCAGAGCTAGATCTCAATCCCTGTAAACTCAACTAGACAAGCAGAACTAGCTAGGCACCAAACTCAGACAGACGTCCCTGTGTAAACTCTTTCATATCTATGTTTATCCACTTCAGCCCCTCTTTCATCAAGCTTTTACCTCTTCCCTTTTCCCCTGGTCTCAGTCAGCCTCTCTCTCTCTCTCTCTCTCTCTCTCTCTCTCTCTCTCTCTCTCTCTCTCTCTCTCTCTCTCTCTCTCTCTCTCTCTCTCTCTCGAGTAAATACATCACCTTTCGACAATATGTACAAACTTTAACTCAAAGCACAAACACTAAGAGACCTGACAGCATATTTATGACCTCTTTAGGTTATACTCAAGCGATATGTCCTCTAGTATATCAAAGGTATTTCCGCTAACATATATATGGAATACTCTCTAGTAAATGTGCAGTATATGCTAGTAAGTCTGAGGTATACTATTTAAAATATCTGCGGTATTCTGTCAAGAATATCTATGATATACTCTGGGGTATCTATGGTGTACTCTAGTATATATGCGATATACATGCCAGTATATCTGTTGTACACTCACTTATATTTGCAGTTTACAATATTGTATCTGCAGTATCCTCTGGTATATACGCGATATAGTATATCCCTTCCAGTATATCTGCGGTGCAGTCTCTAACATATCTACACGCAAAAAAACGCATATAAAACTCTCAACTGCACGCAAAAAAACGCATATAAAACTCTCAACTGCACGCAAAAAAACGCACATAAAACTCAACTGCACGCAAAAAAACGCATATAAAACTCAACTGCACGCAAAAAAAATTGAAATAAAACAATCAACTGCACGCAAAAAAAAACGAAAAAAAAACACTCAACTACACGCAAAAAACGCATATAAAAACACTCAATTACACGCAAAAAAAACGCAAATAAAACCCCCTCAAAAGCACGCAAAAAATACCGCACATAAAACCCTCCCCCGCACGCAACAGACTCAAACAGAGTGACTATTGCAACAGATAAACTGTACACAGAGAATAGTAATGTACACAAATGGCCGCTTTTCATTTTACGCAAAAATACGCACAAAGCGATCATTACTGTACAGTTTACGCTTCGCTGGCCGTTACGCCCCGCTCACACGGGGTCCAATAGGCTGGTTTGTTTGATCCTTGGCAAGAACACATTCACAAAGGTTAGCGATGAATGTGTGTCCGAGTGAGAGGACATCGCAGTACATGAGAGAGCATCGAAGCAACATTGAAGTGGAATAAAGGCAAAACAGAATGTACTAGACTGCGGTAAAGTAGCTTGAAGTATATCTATGTACACGAAGTACACCAGGAGTACATTGGGGTATCCTGGAGCATGAGAGACGAGTACTCTACCTACTGGGCCACGAGTTATCCCACATTAAGGAAGGATTTCAGAGGCATCAAACCGACCCCAAACTGAAACCATATGCCCTCAATAGACAAAGCCCCTTGAGCACAGAAGAATTAAGCTATCCACACTCGAGTCGTATAAATTGTCAACCCACAATACCCTGGATACCTTGCGATGATTTCGGAGCTCAACATCCCCGTGGCCCGGTCCTCGACCAGGCCTTCTCGTTGGATAGTAACATTTCATTCACCAGGGCAATAGAAGCCTTGAACTAACGCGACCTCCGGGATTCATAAAGACAAAATAATGATTCTATTGAGCCCTTGAAATGTGAACTAATGAATCATTAGAATCGAGCAACGTACCGGAATCTTGGAAGGCTGTTAACGTGGTGCCAATTTTTCATGAAAGGAAATATATAACTTCAGTCGAGCTATAGGCCAGTTAGCGTATCGTCAACTGTATTCAACTGCTTGAATTAATCACCGCAAAAGTCATTCGTTTACCTCTTGAAAGAAACAGAATAAGAAAGAATTCTGAACATAATTTCGCTAAGGGCCACTCGTGTTAAAAAAAGCAAAAATTTACTCTCACTATTTAGGAATATATTTCAAGCTGGTGATAGTGGAAAGAACTGCAGCATTATATACCTTGACTTTAGATATATAAGTCTTTTACACTGTTACTTGCAAAAGGTAAGTCTTTTACACTGTTACTTACAAAAGGTAAGTGTTTTACACTGTTACTTTCAAAAGGTAAGTGTTTTACACTGCTACTTACAAAAGGTAAGTATTTTACACTGTTACTTACGAAAACCACTGGTAAACACCTTAAGGAAAACAAAATCGATGTAAAAGTGTAAAAAAACAAAGCAAATAGGCTACTGGAATTCATATCTCGACGACTTAGCAATAATATTTATAATTTACACACAGAGAACTCACACTAAAATGAACTGGAGCTCTTGACTGATTTTCTCAAAGATATATAATATAATATCATTGCTTTATCTTAATCATGTTATGGCAACACAAAATGATTAGATTTAGAAAATACAGCTGTTTTGATCACCGAACTTTAGAATGGACATAAATTCACTCGAACGTGTACACAGAAGAATGACAATCCAAGAAATCCAAGTCTCGTTAATCCAAGAAATCCAAGTCTCGTTAATCCAAGAAATTAGGAGTCTCCTTTATGAAGGGAGATTAAATAAGCTTAATTTCCATACATTAGTAAGACGGAAAGCGAGGGGAGATATGATTAAATCTTACAAGTGCATGGAAGGAGACCTTAATAACGTCTTAACTATGTCAACACGAAACAGAACACGAAACAATGGATGTAAATTGGTAAGTTTAGATTCTGAAAAGTTACCTTGGGTAAATACTTAGTTTCAGAAAGGGGGTTCATGATTTATGGAACAAATTACGTACTACACGTGGGATCGCGGGACTGTTTCAAGCGAATGTTATACATGAATGAGTTTAGATGGAGAGGAAGGATTTAGATAGACACTGCCTACTATGAGCCAATAGTAAGGCAGAGTTTACCATATTCTTAATGATATTTCTCATGGTAATTACCTCTCCTAATTCCCTTTAATAAAGAATTTAATCTCGCAACATATTTTACTTCGCGTGAGAAATCCTGAAATTTTAACACAAAGCAAAACAAAAATTGGGAAATTATTTCTGCTTCGAATAGTCAAATCTCAGACACCGAACAATGCTTCTAAAAAAAAAATTTGGAGGAACGAAAGTCTTGGTATAAAACCACAGATTTTTTTGTCTCTCGATTACAAAGTCAAACTCTAAAAAAGTGATGTAAATTCATAGGAAAGAAAAAGTAATCCGGCGGCAGTGGGACAAAAAAAGAAGTAAAAGAGACAATTGAAATAGCACAAAAAACGGCAGGGAGGAAAGTTGTGTTTTTAAAATGGCTGCGAGTGTTTTTATCCTTCACACAAACACATGTGCACTTGCACACACGTGCGTGAACACACACACACACACACACACACACACACACACACACACCACACATACACACACACACACACACACACACACACACACACACACACACACACACACACACACACACATACACACACACACACACTATTAGGAAGTGATGTGGTGGAGGCTGACTCCATACACAGTTTCAAGTGTAGATATGATGTGTACAGGAATCTGTACACCTGTTGATTGACGGTTGAGAGGCGGGACCAAAGAACCAGAGCTCAACCCCCGCAAGCACAACTAGGTGAGTACACACACACAAACCCTTTGATACAGTACCTAACAGGAGGTTACTGTACAGACTTGAGAGACAGGCGAGAGTAAGCGGAAACCCACTAACATGGGTAAGGAATTACCTAACAGACAGGTGACAGTGTGAGGTGAGGAGTCAGACTGACGTTGAGTAACAAGCGGGGTGCCTCAAGGTGTCTCTGGGACCCATACAATTCCTCATTATGTACTGACCGCAGGAGTTGACTCTTATATGTGTAGATGTTAGCAGACGATGCGAAACTGATGAGGATTGTAAGATTCTCCAAGATGACTTGCACAAGCTGCTGAGCTGGTCCGAGAAATGGCTACTAGACTTCAACACCAGCAAGTGTAAGGTGATGGAAATAGGATAGGATGGGAAACTTAAAAAAGGAGGCTTTAACATCAATATATATACCGCCTATGTGAGTTCAGTTTTAGAGTATGCCGCCTCCCTCTAGAAAAACACACAAGAAAGCTCGAAAGAGTGCTGAGGTTTGCAACGATACTCGTCCCAGAGCTGCAAGGGATGAGGAATGAAGAGAGACAGAAGGAACTAAACCATAACGACGCTAGGGAGGAGGAGAGAGAGAGGGGGAGATGATACAGATATAAAATACTTTGGGGGGGGATTGACAGGCCGGAAAAAAAGAGTAAAAGTTTATAAGGAATACCAATAGAACAAGGGAGCACAAATGGAAGCTTAAGACTCAAATGTGTCGTAGAGATGTTAGAAAGTATACTTTTAGCATAAGGATAGTGAGTAAATAGAATAACCTAAAGGAACAGGTTGTAGAAGCAAACTCATTTCACAATTTAAAAAAGCAGGTATGATTGGGAAACAGGTCAGGAGTCATTGCATTAGACAACTGGCAGCTACAAAAGCGGGGTCCAAGAGCTAATAACTCGATTCTGCAGTCACAAAACAAAAAGTATATACACACACACAAACACCCAATCTAGATGATTTTAAACTCCCTACAAAAACACGAATCTCTCAGAACCCACCCCCCCCCACACACACAAAAAAAAGTTTTTAAGTTTTAACCTCTAAAAAGTCATTTTAAATTTTGTTTTGAATTCCAGTTCAACAGAACACAAGAGAATTATAACTTTCAAAAATGTTGACCACACAATAAAGTTTGATGTAAACCAAGTCGTTCTCTCTCCTCCACAGGAACACCAGCCTGTAGCAAGTTCCTGGCTTCGAACTACGTCGCTAACGATGTGATTCGCTCACCTTCGGGTTCGGCCTCGGCTCCTGGTGGCGACCGGCGCCCAATGCCATGGGAACCCAATTCGCCCGGGCCCATGTTCGATCCCTCGCCGCCTCAGAACGTCACAGCTCTCAAGGATGACATCGCCTACCTTCACTGCATCGTACACAACAGAGGCAATAAAACGGTAGGTAACGGTGTGTGTGTGTGTGTGTAATTACCTAAGTGTAGTTACAGGATGAGAGCTACGCTCGTGGTGTCCCGTCTTCCCAGTACTCTTTGTCTTTTGAAACTACTGACGGTCTTGGCCTCCACCACCTTCCCATCTAACTTGTTTCAACCGTGTGTGTGTGTGTGTGTGTGTGTGTGTGTGTGTGTGTGTGTGTGTGTGTGTGTGTGTGTGTGTGTGTGTGTGTGTGTGTGTGTGTGTGTGTGTGCGCGCGCGTGTGCGTGCTATATACCAAGTCTTCCTTCAATATTTCTTCTCTATTTTTTGCCTTCTGTTTCAACAATCTCTCTCTAGTCACTCTTTATATTATTCCTCTCACCCTATATATATATATATATATATATATATATATATATATATATATATATATATATATATATATATATATATATATATATATATATATATATATATATATATATACTTTTCGTTTACCCTGGCGCGTACATTTACAGGTTTAAATACAAACAGCAATTACCTCTTGTTTAAAAGCCTTTTAACACGCAAAAAGACTGAAATTTGGGAAAATTTCAGGGCTATAGTTAAGTAAAGAGGACTAAAGAGCCACACAGCTTTGCCTGTATTTTATAACGCGTTAAATTGCCAGCTAATGTTAGTTTCAAAGGCCAAAGTTAACATCGGGAAAACACCTTTTTAACACGGAGTTATCACTCGCTCTTGATTAGTGCTCAAATGGCCAGTAGCTTATACGTCACAGCCATTAATTATTAATGCTATCTCGTAATTAGACACAAATCATCAAAGGCGGATTGAAAATGAATTGCTCTTTAGGCCAATGTGACCAACTGGCCTATTACGAACTGAATAATTTGTTCCGAATACCTACGGAATAATTTGTCCCACAAATATACGGAACTAATGGTTCCATATATTTGTGTAGGAAATGATACCTGATCAACCAGGCTGTGACTCATACGTCAGGCTGCGAGCAGCCGCGTCCAACAGCCTGGTTGATCAGTCCGGCAACCAGGAGGCCTGGTCGACGACCGGGCCGCGGGGACGCTAAGCCCCGGAAGCACCTCAAGGTAACCTCAAGGTAGGTAAGGAAGTCAATTGCAAGTAACGTAATATATTCATTTTTTTCCGTAAGTTATCTCGTTTAATTAGCAGTTATTCGTAATTACAGCAGTCATCAACACCTATAACATCACAATGAACAGTGGTTCCCTGCTGAGAGTGTGCTAGGGAGAGGCAGGGAGTTCGATCCCATCCCACAGCCTCAAATATTGCCTCAGCCTGCCATTATTTCTCCAGCCACTGAGAGATGCTCCCTCATCTCGTGCAACAATGAGGACAAAGACCTCGTGGATGCTGAGCCTTTAAGTACCTATATCGATATTAAATTTGGCCTTTGCGTATCCCCAGCTGCTCAAGCTGATGGTAATTTTGGCGGTGACAACATCCATTATTATACACAAGCTTTGTCTTTGACCTCAAAATTACCCTTGAGGTCAATATGGGTTATGATCGAGGCTTTCTCTGCCTGATTACCTTGTGTTCTTCCAGTATCCACTGCCATCTCTTAGCTCCTCCCCCCCTGGTATCTCTCAGCATCAGCTGGTATCTCTCAGCATCAGCTGGTATCTCTCAGCATCATCTGGTATCTCTCAGCATCAGCTGGTATCTCTCAGCATCAGCTGGTATCTCTCAGCATCAGCTGGTATCTCTCAGCATCAGCTGGTATCTCTCAGCATCAGCTGTCATCCCCATAACCTTTCCTGGTATTAACATTTCATATATTCAGTCAGATTCATGTACACCCAGTCAGCTTCATATATACAGTCAGTTTCATATACAGGGTCAGCTTCAAATGTTCACAGTCAGCTTCAAGTATGTCCAGTCAGCTTCAAGTACACCAAATCAGCTTCACATACACTGTCACGGAATCTTATGGCATCTAATACTCATTTGAAGAGAAAATTCAGAAGGAGCCGTGAGAAGGATTCGAACCTATGCTCTGGGTTTTTAACATGTCAAGGTGCAGTGGTCTAAAGCGTGTGTTTGAACCCAGATGCGTAGATTCGAATCCTCCTCAAGGCTCCTACTGATTTCCTCATTAATACATTACGTTAATGAGATTTCTTTGAACAACTTTCTTGGTCTTACCTTAAACACTATGGCGTTCTATCCACTACCTGAAAAGAAAAATAATAGTTTATATATATGTATATATATATATATATATACCTTAGTCAGCGGGATCGACGGTTCGATCTCGTTGTCCTACTCCAGAGACTTTCTCACGGCATGAACGTTATCTATATCAGGCCTAATGTTTTTTTTTTAGGCCTAGGCCAGGTTATGTAAGATTGTATAATTACAGTTGCAAATTTTAGTGTGCCACTTGCAGTGCAAGTATTCCAAAACATTAAAATTTTTGGGTACAACATTTTGTAAGTTTTACCAATAGTTTCTGCGAGTAATAACCTTTTTGGAGGACGGGTTGGAACAGTTAGGTGGCGCTCCATGCAGTAGGAAATTGTTCGCAGAATTTCCAGACTGTTCAAAAGGCCCAATTCGAGCTGAAAGGGAATGTAGTCCTCCTGGTGTGAAGAACAAGTAATGTTGTTGTTTGTGGGGGTGTTGTAGTGGTGTGGTGAGTGTGAACCACTATTGTAGTGGTGTGGTCACTGTGAACCACTATTGTAGTGGTGTGGTGACTGTGAACCACTATTGTAGTGGTGTGGTCACTGTGAACCACTATTGTAGTGGTGTGGTCACTGTGAACCACTATTGTAGTGGTGTGGTCACTGTGAACCACTATTGTAGTGGTGTGGTCACTGTGAACCACTATTGTAGTGGTGTGGTCACTGTGAACCACTATTGTAGTGGTGTGGTCACTGTGAACCACTATTGTAGTGGTGTGGTCACTGTGAACCACTATTGTAGTGGTGTGGTCACTGTGAACCACTATTGTAGTGGTGTGGTGAGTGTGAACCACTATTGTAGTGGTGTGGTCACTGTGAACCACTATTGTAGTGGTGTGGTCACTGTGAACCACTATTGTAGTGGTGTGGTGAGTGTGAACCACTATTGTAGTGGTGTGGTTAGTATCTGACCTCCTCCTATTACTAGTGTCAAGCTCAGTGTGAACCCCTATACTATTTAACATAGTGTATACCTTGCTAGCTTTATATACACCATACATCAACGTTCCACACACGTATACCAAACCCGCTTCACAGACATACATCCAGCGAGCTCCACATGCACAAAGAAGCCTCCCCTCAGCAGCAGCAATAGCTCCAGCTACCACAAACACCAGTCTAACATCTGTCTGTCTCTCCCCGCCGTGCCCTCAGGTGTCGTGGATCAGGGTGTCGGACCTGCACATCCTGACGGTGGCGCAGTACACCTACACCGCCGACGACAGGTTCGAAGTGATCCACTCACCCGACTCGAACTCCCAGTCGTGGATTCTCAAGATCAACTCAGTGCAGCCACGGGATTCCGGCCGCTACGAGTGTCAGGTCAACACCCACCAAACTGACCCCATCACCTTTCCCGTCTACCTCTCCGTCTTCGGTGAGTTGCCCGTCTAGTTTTTTTATCTGTCTCTGTCTGTGTCTTTAAGCGCACAGTTATCCGTTGTTCTATGGGTATATCGACGTTCTAGCGAGGTGATATGTCATACTCTCTCTCTAAGGTATATTCGGCATGTTTTTGTTTACTATCTCTGCGTTTTCTATGGCTGCTGTCTTATTTTTTTTTTTCAATGTATAACTTAACAGTTTTGGCAGATTGCTCTCTGGATCATCTTACTGGTGAAGATTAAACCACACACACACCAGAAGATGCGGAGACGACGACGTTTCGGTCCGTCATGGACCATTATGAAGTTGATTGTGTAATTTCCTTAATTTACAAATCTTTCTCTCGCCTTGGTTACCCTTTATCAACTGTGTCTATTCTCAAGCTTAACTAATTTTCTTTCATCCTAAACCTGTTTCCAACACTAGTACCACCGGGCTCTGCTTTCCCTTCATATCTGAAGTAAGAAAATCTCACTAATACCCTTCGTCCTCTTGACATAAAGCTCGCCTTTCGACCAAGTAACACTCTTCATAGTAATCTGGTTCACACTGCTCCTCCTGCTTCTAATGCTGCTGGTGTCTATTCTATTTCCTGTTCGTCTTGTCCTCTCCAATACTCTGGTGAAACTCGCCGTACACTGAATGACAGACTTAAGGAGCACACAAGAAGTGTTGAGTCTGCATACACAAACAATGCTCTCTTCTGTCATGTTAGGGATTCTAATCATCCAACTGATTGGTATTTTCGTAAAATAATCTTTCCTGTCTCTACTCTACACAGACGCCGTCTTGTCCAATCGGCTCTGATACACAACCTACCCAACATGAACCATAGTCCTGGCTTTGTTGCTGTTGACTCTTCCCTTTTACAGTACACACTCCCATGCCCCAACCTTCTAAACAAACGTGACCTAACATAACCCTACCCATCATTTTTTCTTTCTTACTTTCCCATTCTTATACCCATTATTACCCCCCTATATACACTCCTTTATTACCTCTTCCTGGTGTCCACCAGAGTGCCTTCCACCCTACCCCCCTTTTAGTACCTTTACTTCTCTATATCTAACATGTCTCCTTCTTTCTCTATCCATCCCAAAGGGAGGAGTGAGAATACATTTATTCTCGGCTGTCCGTCACACCTGCTCCTGTTGTAATTAAGGCCTTAACTTTCAACTCCCTCTTTCTCCTTCACTTCCCTTGGGAAAGTCTTTGTGGCTGGCAGTTTTTTTTTGGGGAGGGGGAAGTGGGAGGGGAAGCAGAGTAATGGTAGAAGCGAGTGGGAGGGAAGAGGGGGGGGGGAGTAAGAGGGAAGGAAATGAAGGAGCTTTCAGTCTGTTCATTGACTTAATGAGTGCTTGTCAAGTGTTTTTCTTTGTCTCAAGTGTGTGTGTGTGTTTATGAGGAGAAAGTACAAGCTTTTTCTTCCACAGTAATTACCGTTTATTTATTCACTGAAAGGAAGTGACTTGTTTCACCTGTCACCTGTCACCTGTTTGGCACACCTGTCACCTATCACATATTTAATGTCACCTGTTTGGCACACCTGTCACCTATCACCTGTTTAATGTCACCTGTTTGGCACACCTGTCACCTATCACCTGTTTAATGTCACCTGTTTGGCACACCTGTCACCTATCACCTGTTTAATGTCAGCCTTCTACGGCACTTGATCTTCAAGAATCTTATGTACACAAGCAAAGTCTTACATTATTATCCTAACTGATCAATCAAGTTCCTAAGTCATTATTTTCCTTAATTCACTTTAAGAACTTGAAATAATGTCGGCGTATTTCTTCCTATAGCGATAAGACTTTGAGACTTGACTGACGCGGAAGACTTGCGCAGTCTTTAAGGTCAGACTTTCTTAAGACGAGAGCAGTTAGGAGCCTGAGTATTAACCACTGGATGCCAAGCTGGGTCGTTGATTGTGTAGGTGTGGGGGGTTGCTGATTGGGTGAGTTGGTGATTGGATACGCTGCTGATTGGGTAAAGCTACTGACCGGACTGTGGTATAGCTGGTTTGCTTATAGGATGGATGATGGATTTTGTAGATGATAGATTGGGTGAATATGGTTGATTGCGTGGATGAAGATGGCTGAAACTGGATGGACATTATGGCTGTAAGACCTCAGTATGCCAGTCCTAATGACCCAATAACTCTCTCCCTGACAAGATTCGAAGCTTAGCTTTATGTCTCATCGTATAGGCCTACTTTGTCTAGCTTTATCAAGAAATGTTTGATTATCCTGTCTTTATAATAGACCTTCAAGGAATATGTGTCAGTTAGCGTAACAGCAGCACTCTGGCTTCGTGTATCCTAGGCAAAAATAGTGTCATTTTAAATATATATATAAACGCTTAATATTCAGTCATTTCTGAGGGGTAAAAAAAATCTAGAGTGTCTATCAATCATCGGGAAGTAATGGATCGCGCCACGCATCAATTGCCCGTCGAGATACATCCTCCATGTCAGCCGCGTCATCAATCCCCAATCCTCATCCATGATTGATGTTACACTTTTCCGCTGGTTTGTGCGGGAAAATGGGGAACTACTTGGTGCGGCGGAGGACTAACTCAGTCTTCGTCAACAGAGCTGATGGCGGTCATGTATCACTCCGCGCGCGCGCGGGAGTTTGGCAAGAGGGCGACGGCGGGATATCATTACTTGCTAGTTGAGAAATATGTATTGCAGCCCCTCAGGGGAAGGGGTAAATAGGGGTGAAGCCATGGCATTGTGGCCTTGACGTTGATCGTAGATTAATGAGGCCTACCGTTCGATCCCCCATGTGGATTACGTGTGTGGGGGGGGGGGCTGTTCGCGAACGCTGCATTGGGTGAATCCAGGGATTTGAAACTGGATTTCTAGACCGTTTTCTATGTTAAAAAAAACGGATATTTTATTTGATTTTCGAAACGGCTGTGAAAATGTACAAAGCAAACTGAAAAATATTTATGATTTTGGAAATAAGATATTATTATTATTGTCATTGGCAATTAATTATTTGTGCAATTCAATGAGCCTTTATTTGGCGCAGTGCCAATAGAACTTAAACTAATATGAGATATTCCAAAAGTTCTAAACATATACAAATGGGTATTAAGTTAGCTCAAGATAATCAGCACATCCGAACCTAGCCTAACCCAAACCTAATGTGATCTGACCTAATCTAATCTAACTTAGCCTAACCTAATCTAATCTAACGTAAGTTCTCTTTCCCTTTTATACTCTTATTTAGCATTTAATTTGTCACATTCTCTCTCTCTCTCTCTCTCTCTCTCTCTCTCTCTCTCTCTCTCTCTCTCTCTCTCTCTCTCTCTCTCTCACACCTTCACAACTGGAGACCAAGCCTCCTGTAACACACTAATGGAGTATCACTATTCATTTTCCATTTCCTAAAAGCACAATTATTTTGTTCACATTTTTACCCAGAGTGGTCGGTTGGACACCAGCTCTTGTCCCCCGCTGCTCGCTTGTTGCACCAGTGAGCTCACCTGAGGCATTAGCGTCTGCCTGACCCCTTGACCTATTGGCCGGCGTGCTGGTGCTGACGGCTGTAGCGTGGTTGAGTGATTGATGAGTGGTGGTTGAGGGTGGGATGGATAGTGGTTGAGTGGAGGATGGATACCTGGATTGTATCTGGACGAGGTTCTTGGAAGTTCTTCTACGCCCCGAACTCGGCCCGGAGCCAGGCTTGACACGTGAGAGCTTGGTCCACCAGGCAGTTGCTTGCTTGCAGCGGCCCGTGAAGGATAGATAGCAGTTGGGTTAAACATGCTAGTGGTTCAAAGAAAGATAGCAGGTGGGGGTGCAAGATATATATATATACAATGAATACATATCCCTGTGTGGTGAGAGTGCCTAGGCAACCTGGATGCCTAGGCAATCTTCAAGGATGGCAGACACAAACATTTCCTTCGGCTTCCCATCTGCACTTGTTGTCAAGCAGTTCTCAACAGCTTCTTACTCTAATGGACTGCTAAACATACCAGCAGCTGCACGTGTCAGCCTCCCGACACCTGCCTCTGCACCGCTGCGCTACAGTGACGTGGGAGAACAGATTGAAACACCAGGATACGATGTTGTTGATGTGATTGACTTGACTTCAAAGGACTCACAGAGCGGGAGAGATCCTATACCTGCCACTGTGAGTGTGGAGGAGAGATGGAGGGAGAGAGGGAAGGGGTGAGAGAGGCAGGGAGGGAGGGAGGGAGGGAGGGAGGGAAGGAGGAAGGCTGTGGGAAGAAAAGTGGGAGAGGGGGAAATGAGATGGAATAAGAGATGGGAGGGAGGGATGAAGAGAGAGAGAGAGAGAGAGAGAGAGAGAGAGAGAGAGAGAGAGAGAGAGAGAGAGAGAGAGAGAGAGAGAGAGAGAGAGAGAGAAAATGGGGATAGGTCAAACAGAAAGGAAAGGGTCAAAGATGTGGAGTGTTGGTGGAAGAGAGAATGCGGAAGAGACGGAAGAAGGGACAGATGAAGGGAAAGAATAACAGATGAATACGATAAGAATAAAGGAACAGGGGAAACAAGGAAAAACAACAAAAATAGAAAAGAAAAAAAAACAAGAAATGAGCTGAAAATCAAGTCCTCACAAGTAACACAGATCCACAAAATCCCACATTTACTAAGTCAATATTTGAGAAAATGGAGCAGCGCCACGGGATCGAATCATCGTCCCCGAGCGAGCCACGCCACACAGACGCGCGCCTCGACCCATGGACCGTAATATGCTCAACGTTCCTCTTGGTCTCTACCTCTAGGTCTGTACCTCTAGGTCTGTACCTCTTGCTCTGTACCTCTAGGTCTGTACCTCTAGGTCTGTACCTCTTGCTCTGTACCTCTAGGGCTGTACCTCTATACTTCCTCTAGCATATCCACCAAGTATAACACAACAACGTACAAAACCTAACGGTGTGTGATGTGTTTCATATATAGCATTAAACAGAGCACTCCACGCATAGGTTCGAATCCCCATCATAGCTCCCACTGGT